TTAGGCTTTTTAATTGTATTAAAGTGCTTAATCCTTAGATCAACCTGTTAAGACAGGTTCTGTTTATTATCCCCATTGCGAAGCATAAAAACGTTTAATCACTTGCCCAAGGTCGCAGAGTGACAGAGCTGAGATTCATATTGACGTTAGAATGTTAGGTAACCGTGCCCTATATATGCCTTTCAGACTGGTTCCTGGAAAGAATTAAGCGCCAATGTCCTGAGGTTTCCATCTTATGTAATGGTGTAACTTGTCTCCTTGTATATCTAGAGTGGTACTGGTTATAATCCATCTTTGGGAAAAAGGAGAAAACAGTTACTTGGATAACTTTCTGTGTTCGGTAGCTCACACGAGAGAGGCGGAGTGAGATGGCTGACAAAGCATGGGTTTTAGATGATAGTTTTGGTCTTTTCGGAAGCACAGCCTATTCTCCATTCAAACCAGACTATAATACTTTCATTTCTTACAAGGACCATCTTAGCTTTTTTGCCTCTAGACCTTTGCATATGCTATTCCCTCTGCCTGGACCACACTTCCCTGCTCACTCCTCCTTCCCCAAGTCTTTCCTTGGCTCCTCTTTCCCGTGGTGAAAGTCAGTTTAGATGCCATTTTCCACCCCTCCAAGATAGAGGGTCCCTTTCTGAGGGTCCCTACAGCCCCTGGGGGCCCCTGTTGTAGTACGCACAAGTGTTGTAGTGCTGAAAACTGTACTGGGAGTTGATTTTTATATGTGGAATGAGGGACGTGATTATCTGCCCCTGACTGGTTCACACTCTAGACCTATTCTGTGAGAGCAGAGACTGTCTCTTTTGTTCCCCTGTACCTTGGCTGGTGCTTGGACAAAATATGTGTTCACCAAATATTTGTTGAAGGAGTGGATGGATGGGGGTTCATTTTGCTTTAAGTTTTCAAGCCTTGGGTTTTTGAAGTAGTCAAGTCTTCCGTCGGACAACCATCGTTTGCCGTGTCTTGTATGTACGTACTGGGTTGGGCACTGTGGGGAATAGGAAGCCCCATTCACAGCCCAAGACCTCCCTTCACTGCGTGTCCTGAGAACCACCTGGAGCAACTGTGATCAATGGTTCCTGTTTATAAAGAAGTAGAAACCCAAGTTAGGACTAAGCCAGCCTCATACATTTGGGGGCGGGCATGTTGAAAAAGTACATCCTCAGATAGGTAAACAACATGTTGGTGGTTAGATCTAACCCCAAAGAAAAGCTTGATTACTTAAAGATAGAACATTTAATTTTATAAATAGAGAAAAGACTTTAAATCAAATATATTTAGGACCTCTGTACCTGGTTTCCTCAGGCACCTTAACTTATCTTGTCTAAAACTTAATTGCTCATCTACAAGTCCCCTAGAAATTGCTGCTTCTCCTGTATTCCCTCTCTCTTTTAGAGGGACCCACCTGGTGCTCATGCCAGAAATGGGGACGTCCCTCTTGATTCTTTCTCCTTCAGTCCCCGCTGGCATTCAGGTAACTGTTCTGTGACTGCCTCCTTTCCGTTTCTCAGGCTGTCCTTTTTCCCTCCTACTGCCTTCGTTAAGGCAGGAGCTGGCCCCTTTTCTGCCCTTCTTGAGTCTAGGCTCCTTTGCTCCAACTCATTCTCTACCCTGTTGTTAGAGCATATTCCAGAATTCAGATCTGATTCCATCACTCCTCGGCCTGGAAGTCTTCAAAGACTCCATGGCTCGCCACCTGGCCCCACATTATGCCCCATTCCCACCATGCCCCCTCTGAGTTCAGGCTCTGTTTCAGCTCTACCAGATATCATGATTTTTTTTTCCTTCCCTCTTTTATCTAACTGTCACTTGTTCTCTAAAGGCTTTTCTGACATGGGTCCTTGCTTGAGTCTCCTACATGGAACCATGCCTCCACCATTTTGCATCCTAACATTGCTTGGCACATAGGATGTGCTCTGTAATACTTGTTGAAAAAATAAATGAGAGGTAGCAGAGGTGTTAATTCACACTGAGCTGTAAAGGAGCAATATCTGGCTCTTGTGAGAATGGGTTTTATTTCAGGGTGGGAGAAGAGTGTTAAGATACCAGTTAATTACTGGGAAAGGTGCCTGGGTAGTGCTAGTGGAGAGGAACCCCACAGAACAGGAAAAAAGACAATTGAGGAACTAGGAGTTGCCTACCTTAGATCACCATGAAGAAGGCCAGTGTCTGCTTTAGCAGGCTGCCAAAGAATCTGTGACTCAGTTTCCTTAGTTACACAGAAAGGGCATGGGTCTACAGTAGGTAGACCCAGCAGGTAGGGGCCTGACAGTCTATGATTCTTAGAGTCAAAGTGAAAAATTGAAGTAGGGCATTTTGAATCGGTGTGAAAATTTTTTCCCCCTCTTCTCATTTTATTGCCAGCTCCATGGGAAAAAAAACATTATCTCTTTGCACTCAACAGAGACAGTTTTGCATTTTAAAAACAAAGAATTACAAAGGAATACAGGAAAATTACATTAATATGATATTATGTTTGAGAATATAAACTCCCAAGTCAGGAAATTCACTCATCATTCTCTTGCAGCTTTTGTTTTGATGCCCTGCACATACCATTTAAAGACAACTCTAATATGCCAAAGCCCAGCTTGGCCATGGCCATGAGTTATGGTGGATTGGAAATGGTTACTTTGATCTTCTTGGCCTTTGGGTGTTTGACTTCTCTAAGTTAATGTCTGTTCTTTAGCATTACATTATTTGTAGTAAGGTAGTCATTTATAATTTATATTCTGTGTACGGACTTAAAATAGAGATAAGAGGATAATCAGCATCCTGAAGCTTCTAGTGGTCCAAAATAACATTTCTTCAGTGAAGTCTGCCTGTGGGGATTAAAACCTGGGGTGAATTTAAAAACCCTTTGTCCTATTGTCAGACTGGGAAACGGGTGTGCCAACAGGCATTATTAAGCCTTTAAAGGGGTGATGCAAATCATTTTTTTTAAAAATAAAACTTATCATTTTATTTTATTCTACTCAAAATAATTTCTAAAGACCTCAACCTTCATTGTGTTCCAGGGGCCTCACTAAAGTCTCAGAGAGGGGACAGGGGCAGAGCTACAAGGACAAATAGGAGAAATCGCCCTGGTGAAGGACAAAAGCCGATACATCTCTCAACCACTTTTCTTCTTTTTTTTTTTTTTAAGATTTTATTGGGGAATTGGGGGAGGGGAACACCGCCGGGAATGGGGGGAAGGGGAACAGACAAGTTGCTGTCGTTTTGTTCTTCAGTCTAGTTGTGGAGGATGTTGCTTCACTGGCCCAAACTGGCATCATCATTGCGCTCTTCCCAGGCGAGGCAGATCAGTCGCCATCTTCTGGACGGCCGCTCACAGTGGCTGCTGGCTGCTCACTGCGGCTGCTGGCTACACACGGTAGCCCATGGCAACCCACTGCAGCAGGGACTGCAGCCTACACCGTTGCCGGCGACTCATGGCAGCCCAGCTCCAGGTTGAGCTGTTGTTCACCATCTTAGCTGTAGAGGGCAGTGTCACTGGCCCTCATGTGGGATCCAAACCAGGGCTCTCTGGCATCCCAAGCCAGTTCTTAACCAACGTGCCACTCTGCCGGCCCTCTCAACCACTTTTCTGCTGCGATTTTGGTGTTCTTCCATCTGAGTTGCTACTTTGCTTTTTGACTTTGACTGCAAGCACAGAAGAGGGATGGGCTTTCCTGTTAAGTACCTCGTAGAGAACACACTGTTCATTCACATAGATTAAAAATGGAAGGCCTACTTGAAAAATCCCATGTAGAATTCAGGTTTTAGCAAAAGCCAATCAGATATTAGAGGCTTAACTTATTTTTTTCCTTCTTGCTTTTATAACAAGTCTCTAAACTCTAATTTTTTTTCCATTCCTTTTCATTATGCATCTTCACTGTGCCAGGAACTGGGTAGAGATTTCTAATGAGGCAGAAGGACAGATGCTGCTGCAGTCGAATGGTCTCGTTCTTCCAGTGTCTGGCGACCTTGTATTTGAATCCCAAAATTATTCTCATTAGGACCACTGACACTGTGCTGTGTCTCATGTGCTCATAACTGTACTGGGTGTACATTTGAATGTCCTCCTGATACTTGGGGGTCCTTGGGGGTAGAGGTCTTGCTGCAGCTAAGGGGTTGTATGGGAACATCCTGGGTTATTTAACTTGAAAGCCACAAGGTGGCAACGTTTACTAAGCTGCTGGGCATTTTATCCTCTATATCAAATAGACGTTGAACTTGCTTTTCTAGCTACAAGATTGAATAGCTGTGAAAAGGGCTTAGCAGCCATTGCTTCAGGTCCTTTTGAAAGCGAGGCTATAGGCCAAGCACACTATAGTATATTGGTATCTGTTCATTCCCTCGTTTAGATACTGAGAGTTTGAAATTTCTCTGTGTGACTGGGCAAGTTGCCTCCCCTTTGGCCTCAGTTACACATCGTGATAGGGAAGACCTGTGATTGTACTGACTAGTTTCTAATAGTTTTTTTCTGCATGATTTATGATTTTGGTTACAACTTCCTCCCCTATATTGCTTTATAGAAAAACTGATAGTAAAACTAGCCCTTTAAATTTAAAAGAAACACTAACCTTTTACCAGAGGGCAGGGTCGTGATTTTTTTTAAAATCAACAACAAAATCTCAAGGAAATTAATGTTCCTAGAGGCTAGCCATCTTTCCTCGGTTCACTCAAGAGGATAGACTCTACTAAATGAGGATGCTTATTCACCAGCTTTCCTAAATGAGCTTTGGGAACATTAAGATCTATAAGGAACTGACCAAGGGCGGTATTGTGTATGCTTTGCAGTGACTAAGCCATTAAGCTCTAATTGGTATTTTCCCAGTCATGGTTTTGTGTAGGAAGCTTTACAATTATTTAGGAATTCTGTGCCCATCAGCCATCTCAGTGTCATCCCCACATTTTGGAATCTGAGAGTGGAGAGTGTGGAGAACAGGTTTTAGTGAGAGCAGATTATGACTTTTGCTTGTAATGTGTTTCCGTCTTGGTTTGTTGTATTGCAGATGAAGTGGAAAGGGAAGGACCTGTTTGATTTGGTGTGCCGGACCCTGGGACTTCGGGAAACCTGGTTCTTTGGACTGCAGTACACAATCAAGGACACCGTGGCCTGGCTCAAAATGGACAAGAAGGTGAGGCTGGAATGAATGAGAGTGGTGGGGCTGGAGCCTGCTCTGGTTTTCTTCCCTGAGCACATGCCCTGTTTGTTTGCTCATCACGGGGCATGACGGATACATAGTAGAGAAGGGGGCAAGTCCTGAAGTCAGTCATGCAGAAAGCAGGTCCTGGAGATGCCACAGGCTTTCTACTCCTCACAGGCTCTCCTCGGCAGGCAGAACCAACCAGGATTAAACTGTTGCGATCCCTGGCTTCTTTACTCATTGTCACCAGGCTGATTGCTTCTGGCTTTATGCTGTTCAATTTATTGAACCACTAGTCAGGCTTTATGAATAAAAATCTCACACACACACACACACACACACACACACACACTTTACAATTTATGTCTTTGAAAGCTTTTCTTGGGGCTCATGTGCTTTAAGGAATTTTTAGTCTTTTTTGAGAAACACCGTGGCCTAATTCAATTTAATCATTAACATGATCTAAGGAATAAAGAGTGTCCTGGTCCCTGTGGTAAAGGAAGACTGTCCATTTTGTCCTCGTGGTTTTCTGGGACCTCTGAGGCCTGGAGGACAAGTCTGGGCTCCCAGCAGTTTTCATGTGGCTTAGAAATGGATATTGCCTAGGGAAAGTGCCCTCTGTGTAGGTTCATATGTGCACACAAAGACATACTTACCTACTTACCTGCCTACATAACCATGAAAATGGATGAGGATCGGGCCATATGCTTTTGTCAGTAACTCCTAAAAGATGCCTGAATCTCAAAGTAAGTCAATGTCTAATTCTTACCCCAAATGGAATCCCCTGTAATTAATTGCCCACCCAATTTTATTATCTCCTATAATGGCGTGATAAACAATGAAAGCCTCCTACCCTTCACCAGTTTGACTCTAAACCCAAATGTTCAAATTGTGTTTCCATATGTACACACTAATCTGAATCTTCACTTTAGAATCCCTGCTGGTTATAAATTTAATATGGTAATTCCCCATGATCACGAACATCAAAGTGCCACTGTGTGCCGGTGTCAGCGAGACTGTCCTAGATGAGGTGTATTTTGAATCTCCTGGGCACCGCCAATTGGAATTTAGGCAGGGGCTTGGAGAGTTACCTATCAAAGATAAGCAGAACTTCTGTATCTTTTTAGTGACTCTCAGCAAAGTAAATTTCAAGTCATACCTGAGTGCTGGCCAAATGGATGTGAGATTGGGGGCATCAGGAGCCACGATACCTGCTGCTCAAAGGAAATAAATTATGACACATGTTAATGGAGGCTTGGAGCCTGTCACATGGCATGTTTATGGCCTGAAATGAAATTCATTCTGGAGAGCAGATGGTTCGAGCTTTTCAGTGGGTGGATGAAATTGTTAGAAGATTAAAGGCAGTGTGGTTTACTGATTGTGCTCAAGTATTTTGTGGGGCATCTCCAGAGGTTCCTTAAAACAAAGGGTTGCACAATGGACACGTTTCATTTCTGTTGCTCAGTTAATGCTTAGATGACTTCACAGAGATCTATTTCATCATCTCTAAGCTCCATTCTAATATGGACCTAAATGTTGGGGGGTGGGCAACAAGGAAAAAGAATAAAGGAAGATTTAAAGCCTTCAGAAAGTTTAAAGCCTTCAGTCTACCATAAGGGATTGTGTTCAAGACCTTTGAGTTATAAATTTCTAATTTTTAACTATCTCTGTGGCCTTGAGAACATTTGTGCCTTAATCTTAGCTACACTCACCCCTTGGGGATATTAATTAACTTGGTTCAAAAATGCCATGTAAAGTGATTATTCCCTCTCGTTGTAGATGGCTTTGTGAATGCCTCAAATTGAAGAATCACAACCTTTGGGGAATGTGATGAATTTAGAGGGGAAATAATATTTATACACTCCTTGCAAAAGGTTCTTTGATGGTGGCATGGGAGGAAGAGGTGCCAGTATAGCTTGTTTATCTTTTGCTCTTTGATTCTTCAGGTGCTGGATCATGATGTTTCAAAGGAAGAGCCAGTCACCTTTCACTTCCTGGCCAAATTTTATCCTGAGAACGCTGAGGAGGAGCTGGTTCAAGAGATCACGCAACATTTATTCTTCTTGCAGGTACACCAGTTCATGCTACCCCCCTAAATTATAGGGAAACTCACCCAGGCAGCATGGCAGAGGCAGCCTGGACAAACCCCTCGAGCTGACCACAGATGTTTCACATTGCAAAAATGTTACACCTCAGTCCTTTTGGTTTTGTAATGGAAAAAAATCTTCAGAATAGAACTACACTTGAGTGATAAGAATTGGTGTCAGGTGAAATTGCAAAAATGTGATGGTGAAAGAATAGCTACCTAATTTGAAACCTCTTTGAAGACAGATCCTGTTTTCTTCTCAGTAACTTGAAAGTACTTAGTAGTTGCAGAGGAAGTTTAAAGAGTCTTATAAAGAGTAGTTCTTCCACAAGTTCAAAATCTGTTGTCATTAAGGCACGACTTCAGAGCTCCGGTGACTCCTGGTTAATCCCATTCATGTAGAACTTCCAACATCGTATTTCATGCTACTCTGTCTATAATTATCTTATTTCTCCCTTATTCCATCATAGATGGTAAGCCGCTTACAGGCAAGGCTCACTGAGTGCACAGGAGGCATTCCATAAGTAATCACTCAACCGAATTGAAGAAATTAGGCAATCCATGATTATAGGTTCAAAGACAGCTCTTTAATCTCTGGAGGCAAAGTGGGCAAGGGGTTGGTGTTTTTACTGGTTGATCAGAGCACTTCCCCAGTTTCATGATTAGTTACAGTGATTGGCACTGGAGCTTGCCTGTGTGCCCAAAGGTGCCCACTGTCAGTAACAGAAAAGATTGCAGCAGGGGTGTTAATTACATGATTTCCCAGAAGGAGATATATAGTCTGTCACGTACTCTTTCTATAATTAGTTTGAGTTTCAGATTATTATGTTCAGTAGATATTAAGTTAAATGTAATAAAAATCCTCAAATCATGTTTTACAAAAAAAATTTGCAAAAAAAGTGTGCGTGTGTGTGTGTGTGTGTGTGTGTGTGTGTGTGTATACACATACACATATATACATACTCCCCCATCCCTAACATTTTGCGGTCAAAGGGAATCCCTTTCAGTTTTTTGTAGTGTGGCTTTTTTTCCCTTTGAAAAGAAACCGAGGGATTGGAAAGTTGCACTTCTTTGAATGAAACCACATAATGATCTTGTAGGCCCCAAAATGTCCTAGTGTCATAGAGACGGCTTTCTTTTTTTTTTTTTAATCTGAGCCATCCTGCCACCTGTTGGCAGCTCAGCAGCAGCTCAGCTTGGGCCTGGAATTGAACTGGCGACCCTATTGCTCAGAGCTTGTACTCTTGAGTGAGCTCTTAACCAACTGACCCACTCTGCCGGCCCGAGATGGCTTTCTTGGAAGCAGTGCCTATCCCTTATGTGACTTTGGCTTAATTTCCCCTCATACTTCAATGTTGGAGCGTTTTCATGGCCGAACAAGGCAAAATTTACCACTTTTATGAATCTGTGAGAAGAGAGTTGGCTTTCCTGTTGTGTTTATTTCGGGGTGCCTTCCCCCAGCCTCCACTTCATGTGGCTCTCTTGCCTTTATGTCTGGAACATCATACATTGCACCATTCTATGAAATTAAATGAATTGAGATATGTTAATTCAACATTATGGCTTAAGAATTATATTTCCTGGACCTCACATGTACTTAAAAGTTTAATCGATCACACTTTATTGCTTCCTTTTTCCTTACAGCCTGCATGTTGAAAGTGATGGTTTTTTTTCCGCAGTCATAACTCAGTGGCCTTGCTGACTTTTGTCTTGTGTTAAGACTTAAAAGTAGACTCCATTTCCTCTAGTGCTGTGTGTGCTCAGCAGGGGCCGAGGCTGCAATCACCAGAGCTGTTCCTGACACTTCTCAAGTTTACGGCTCTCCTCTGTCACAGCCCAGATGTTAGTCTCTGTGTTAACCATGAAGACCGTTTTTCCTCTTCAGCATTTGATCATGAACAGATGAGATAAGGGGCTTTTATGCATGGCCATCTTACCAATAGCTTCTTAGTGACTGAACTCCCAACCTGTCTGCCGCAGGAAAAAAATTGTACCCTTTTTCAGAAAATCATTAGCAGGCCCTCATTCAAACACCCTGCAGCCATCTTCTGTGCAACCAGCCTGCACAGCTCACTTCCACGCACACGGTATCATGTCTCCCTTGCTGCCCCTTTCAGGTAAAGAAGCAGATTTTAGATGAAAAGATCTACTGCCCTCCTGAGGCTTCTGTGCTCCTGGCTTCTTACGCCGTCCAGGCTAAGGTAGGCTCAAAGAAGAAAAATTAATTCTTCTGGACATTATTGTGTGTCATGGGGCAGCTCCAGGTTGTCTGTTCCTTGGGAATTTTGAGACTTTCGTCAGAAAGTGAGAGGTTGTGGAACTTGTGGACTAGGGGAACCAACTGTCACCGTGTCACTTCTGTATAATCTTGTGAGAGTGTGTATATGTATACAGGTAAATGTACAGCTTGATGAATTTCCTTTTTAATCTCATTGGGCACATGCAGTTACTTACATTCACTGGGCCAACCTTGCTTTTTATTAACCAGGAAAAATGAACTTACAATCTTCAATTGTTTGGCCAAAATTGGGGACTGTAAGTTCATTTAGGTCAGAAAGGCCCAGGTCCTCATTCCAAACTCATCTTCTGAGGACTAGTGGCCCTATGTGTGGGGACCTCACCAAACCCTAGAGCATGCTCTGCTTCATCCACCCCTGATGGGCATGCCAGCTTGCTGATGGCTGGGCACTGCAGGCTCTTTGGCCCACTGAGCTAAGTTGAGCTTTCTGGTTAGCTGAAAGGCATTCCCAGAGAAATCACTATGGATGAGAGTAGTGGGAAAGCAAGACCAATAGTCTTGTGTTTTTGTCCTCTGTTGTTTTTTTTTTCTAAATTTTCTTTTCTTTTTTTTTAATTGGGGAATTGGGGGGATGGGAACAGTGCTGGGGAATTGGGGGAAGGGGAACAGACAAGTTGCTGTCCTTTTGTTCTTCAGTCTAGTTGTGGAGGATGTTGTTTCACTGGCCCATGTTGGCGCCATCATTGCGCTCTTCCTGGGCGAGGCAGATCAGTTGCCGGCTTCTGGACGGCTGCTCACGGCGGCTGCTGGCTGCTCATGCTGGCTGCTGGCTACATACGGTAGCCCATGGCAACCCACTGTCACAGAGGCTGCAGCCTACGCCGTTGCTGGCGACTCACGGCAGCCCAGCTCCAGGTTGAGATGTTGTTCAGCATCTTAGCTGTAGAGGGCAGTGTCACTGGTCCTCATATGTGGGATCCGAACCGGGGTCCTCTGGCGTCCCAAGCCAGTTCTTAACCATCGCGCCACTCGGCTGACCCTGTCCTCTGTTTTTATAAGACCCATACAGAGTCCGGTCAGGGGGTTTCATGTCCCTCAGATTTCCACTTCAATCACATGCCACTTTCTCTTGATTCCTCTATTCATTACCTTTCACCGCAGCATAAGAAGATGTCCCCAGAATTAGGACACCTGATTACTTCTGTGATTTTGCATAATTTTTTGTTATTATTTTCCTTTTTAAGGTGAAAGTGTCCCTAAAGCCGGTTCCCTGTAGTGTTACAAAAATTAGTAAGACTCTCTTAACTTCCTAGCCTATTTTTTGTTTTGGATAGCTTAATACAGTTTTAGATCAAAGCCAAGAAGTAACTGGCCTGTCATTTGGAGGGGAAAAAAATCTATACATGCTAGTCAGACTAACAGAAGCACCTGAGTCATTTGATGACTCATAATCATTTGATGACTGGTCTAATATTTGCTGAGTATTCACTGGTCTGGCTGGGGGGGGGGCAAGAGGAGGTTGTTGACTGTCACAATACAGACACTAAAGCAAGTGTCTTCCCTCAGCGATTTGCCCAAGGTCATTCAGGCTATCTTGGGGTAAAGCTAAGGGCAGAATTCATAGCTTTGGGATTATATTTCGTGCCTCCCCTATTCCACTGCCCAGAAAAATGAGTAATTGAAAAAAACAGAAAATGGGCCTTGATTCAACTAAAACATACGCTCCCTTTTATGCTTTGATTAAGAATATTAATAACAGGAAAAATGTGTCCTTTCAATCAGTATCACCCTGACAGTGATGAAACAGTCATTGTCACTCTCATTAAATCCGAGCACTTCCTGGCCCTGAACTGAGTTCCTTTTTAGCACGCCTTCCCTCCAGCTGAGAGGAGACCCAAGCTCTCAAGGACATCACCTCTCTTTGAAGGGCTTCCGTCTCAAAGGCTGCATTTTCTTTGCATGGATTTTGGGTCACAAATTCAAAGGCCACCTGTGGAAAAAAATAACTTTTCTGGGTTCCAGCAGATGTTAGCTTAAACAGATTTCACTGTAGGAAAGCCCTAGTAATTTGAATCTGACTAATTTAGAGATGAAAGTGATTCACAGACAGCATATGTAGTTCATATGGAGGAGGGTGTTCTGTTTTTTTTCCGGTGTAAAATTTCAGGATCTCACAAATAAAACTAATCTGTGGCTTCAAGTCTTCATTTGGGAAACTAAGGATTATTATAACAACATCCTTCCAGCTTCCAGGACTGCTGGTTAATATTAAAAGGATATCTCTGGTTACAATATTAATAAGATCTTACATGCCCGTAGTGTTTTACAGTTTTACAAAGTGTTACAACATGAATATTTTGTGTGATACTCAGTGTAGTCTTTTCTGGAAGCCAAGGCTTGAGGGTATTATTCTGGTTTTATAGATGAGGAATTTCGGGCTCAGAAAAGAGTAATCATTTGTCTAAAGTCACAATACTTTATATTAATTCTTTTTTTTTAATGGCATTTGTAGCCCATTTGTTGATGGACAGGATTTGAAGCAGAATGGAACTAGAGAGTGGAGCCGGGGTGAGAACCCTGGTGTCTGGTTTCCTAACTCGGCACTTTACTCTTGTGCCTCACTGTCTAGCATATGCCGCGTTTCGCCAAATCCCAGACTCATTTATGTGGTCACATTAGTCCAGACTTTTCGATGAATCATATTGGTTCCTTCCATTATGTTCAGTTAGTTTTCTTCCACAACCTTTCTGAAACAGAAAGGAACTTTTAGAAGTGTGGAGGGGAAAGCAAATGGAGCTCATTAACACATGAACTGTAATTATGCACAAATGTATTCATTAAAGTGTTTTAGCTGTTTGAATGATATAGACACAGTTAATTCTGAAGCATAAAGAAACAATTACCCTCAAAGTAGAACTACAAATATAAATCACATGGTTCAGTTAACAAGAACCATATTTCTTGGTTGGAGTTTGAGTTCCATTTGAATCAAAAGTATGGGCTGGGTTTTTTTTTTGTTTTTTTTTTTGTGTCCAGTCACATGACATAGCAAACCATCTTGCAATGTTTTAAACCACCTGTTGGATTTATATTGACAATTTGGTGTTTCAAATGTGTTCTTATTAAAAATGACTTTCAGAGAGACTGGTATGTAATTTATCAGTCTTGCAGTGCTGGCCTGCAGACTCCTAGTGTTCAGAGAGAAAAGAATGGTGGGAAAGAGGTTTTAGTGTTTCTTAGTAAGTGCTGTTTTATACAAATTAGGGACAGAATACCAAAAGGCAATTAAGAAGTTGGGTATACATAAAGTGTAGGTAGAGAGTGCCAAGAGTTGAGGCTGGAGAGGTCTGCAGGGGGCCAGATCATAAAGGGTCTTAACTTTATCCTGTGGGTGATACAGAGCCAATGAATGGTTTATATTTTAGACAGAGCCTCTGGTGGTTGTATGAAGGACAGATTGGAGTGAGAGACATGTTTGGAAACAGGAGGACCTGTTAGCAGGCTCTAGTGGTCATCCTGGTGAGAGACTGTGAGGTTCACACCTTGGGCAGAAGTCAGTTGGATGGGAGGAGGCTGACTTAAAAATATCTAGGAGGTAAAAGTTGATATAAATGGTGCTATACTCTACATATCTTTTTTTTTTTTAAGATTTTATTGGGGAATTGGGGGAGGGGAACAGACAAGTTGCTATCCGTTTGTTCTTCAGTCTAGTTGTGAAGGACTTCGCTTCACTGGCCCATGTTGGTATTATCATTGCGCTCTTCCCTGCTGAGGCAGATTGCTCACCAGCCCTTGGACAGCCACTCACGGCGGCTCACGGTAGCTAACGGCAGCCCACTGCAGCCTCATTGCAGCCCACGCCGTCACCGGCGACTCACAGCAGCCAAGCTCTAAGTCCAGCTGTTGTTCACCATCTTAGCTGTAGAGGGCACAGCGTCACTGGCCCTCATGTGGGATCCGAACCGGGGCCCTGCTGCTCAGAGCTGGCACTCCCAAGCTAACTCTTAACCAATGTGCCACTCAGTCAGCCCTCTTTTTTTTTTTTTTTTGCATATTCCTTTACAAAATGGCATTTTTTTCCCCACTCAACATTAATTTTTTTTTTTAAGATTTTTATTGGGGAATTGGGGGATGGGAACAGCGCTGGGGAATTGGGGAAGGGGAACAGACAAGTTGCTGTCATTTTGTTCTTCAGTCTAGTTGTGGAGGACGTCGCTTCACTGGCCCAAGTTGGCACCATCATTGCGCTCTTCCCGGGTGAGGCAGATCAGTCGCCGGCTTCTGGACGGCCGCTCACTGCGGCTGCTGGCCGCTCACGCTGGCTGCTGGCTACACACGGTAGCCCATGGCAACCCACTGCCACAGGGGCTGCAGCCTACCCCACGCCGGCGACTCAAGGCAGCCCAGCTCCAGGTTGAGCTGTTGTTCAGCATCTTAGCTGTGGAGGGCAGTGTCACTGGCCCTCATATGTGGGATCCGAACTGGGGCCTTCTGGCGTCCCAAGCCAGCTCTTAACCAATGCGCCACTCGGCCAGCCCATCAACATTAATTTTGAGATGTATCTGTGTTCTATGTGTAGTTCCAGCTCATTGATTCTAACTGCTGTGTGGTAGCCATTGATGAATAAACCTAGTTTATTTATCCATCCCCGAGGGAAAGGTAGGTTTAGTTTCTACTTTCCCCTGTTGTAAACAGTGCTTTACTGAAAATCCTTTTATATGATTCCTTATGTACATGTGCAAAAGCTTTTTCCCCCTTAAGGTAAATTTCTAGAAATAGAATTGTAGAAATACCTGAAGATATATAAAGAACTCCTAAATTTATAAAAAAAGAAAGAGCAGAACAAAGGGTATGAACAACAGGCACTACATAGAAAACAGAAAAAAAGGCTCAACCTCACTAGTAATCAAGAAAAAGAAAAATTAGAGCAACAATGAGGTAACATTTCAAACTCATAGATTGACAAGGATTAATTAATCAATAGGAGCTGGAAGGGACTGTGAGTTGGCATAACCTCTGTAGAGTGATGGGTTCGGTGGGGACTGGTCAGGTGAGAAGACACACCCCCCAAATCCCCAAAAGTCCACTTCTAGGTGGCTACTCCAGAGAAACTCCTGCACAATGCACCCTTTTCACTTAAAACTGTCACAACGGGTAGACCCATCTCATGTTTTTAAACACTGAACAGTATAGTATTTCATAAGAAGGAGGGACAGTGGATTATTTAAATATCTCTTTATTGGTAGATATTTAGGTTTGTTTTTCTTTCTATTATTTTTCTATTACTTAGACAGATGCAGTGAACATCCTCAAATATAAACATATGAACAGTATTCTCTATGATAAATACCAAGAGATGGCATAACTGGGTTGAAGGATAAGAACACTTAAAATTTAAATAATGCTAAGTGAAAGAAGCCAGACATAAAAGGCTGCATATTGTATGATTCCATTTATACAAAATGTCCACAATAAACAAATCCATAGAGACAGAAAGTAGATTTAGTGGTGGCTAGGGGATGGTAGGAGGATAGTAGGAGTTACTGCTAATGGATATGGGATTTCTTTTTGGGGTGATGGAAATAGTCTGGAATTAGACAGCACTGATGGCTGCACAACATTGTGAATATCCTGGAAACCACTAAATTATAAGCTGAAAATGGTGAATGTTATATTTGTAAATTTTATCTCAATAAAAAAATTAAATAGATATGGCCAAATTCTCCTCCAAAGATGTTGTTCTAATTTAACTTCTAAGAACAATGTGTGAAAATACCTGTTTTTCCACATCCTCATCAACAGTGGATGCTATTAGTTTTTTACATTTTTGCTAATCTAACAGAAAAAAATTGATTTTTTTCAAGTTTTCATTTCCTTGATTACCATTGGGGCTGAGTATCTTTTCATAGATTTACTGACCATTGTACTGGGTTGTCAGAAAAGTCATGACGCATTTTTGCAAAGAAAAACATAGAAAAAAATACGTCATGACTTTTCCGACAACGCAATATTTCTTTCCTCTGTGAGTCAAGTGTTTATGGCTTGCCCATGTTTCCACTTGTATTGTTTGTCTTTTTCTAATTGACTTAGAGGTGCTCCATATATGATGAGTGTTAACTTTTTATCTTTTTTATCTTTATTAAATTTATTGGGGTGACATTGGTTATAAAATTATATAGGTTTCAAGTGTACATTTCTATAATGCATCATCTGTATATCACATTGTGTGTTCACCACCCAGTCTCAGTTCTCCTTCTATCACCATATATTTGACCCCATTTACCCTCTACTGCTACCCCCTCCCCCATTGCCCTCTGATAACCCTTTAATCTTTTCTTTGCATGTCAGACTTGTCAACCTTTTAATGTTTTGAGTGACTTTTAGAATGGCTTCACCCACCATTATTATACACATGTTCTTCTATATTTTGTTCTGGTAGTTTGATAGATTTTCATTTATGGTTTAAGTCTTTAATCCATCTGGATTTTAATGACTGGTATGTGGTAGGGATCTTATTATTAATATTTATTCTGTATATGTATTGATCAAATCTTTATGTTTTGTGAAATCCTGTTCAGAGTACTTGGTCTAATTTTCCATACATACAGGCAGAGGAAAGTATTTAATATCCAGAAGGAGCCTCTGTTTAACCTAAGACTTGACTCCACGAATCCTGTAAATGGTGAACTCCTCTCTTGAATTTAAATTCAATTGATTTATATCAGGGGTGGATCAAGGTTTTGTGGGGCCTGAAGTTTATATGACTTAAGGGGGTTCTTTTCAATGCAAGAATACAAATGATGAATATAAAATTAGGTGCAGAGACCTGCAACCTGAACTTCATTAGCTTTACAGTAAATTCAGTCCTGGTTATATTATCAGAATGCTTCTGTACATAAAAGGATGAGGAACGGCCATCTCCATCTATGCAGTGGTATGACTTCCTTTTGTATTTACCAACTGCCACAATGTGAGGATTTTCTTCTTCTTTTGTTTTTTAAAGAGATAGTTAAGAGCAGACACATACATCCAGGGGGCTTTAATGTAAGTGGAGTTAGTCCAGTGGAGAAGTCCTTTCAGAAGGGTCTTTGCTGCCTCCGCATTGCTCAGATGAGCTCAGTATAATAGAGTAGCTGGGAGCTCAGTATAATAATGTGGATCGTTAATCTTACAAGCCTTTGGAGCCTAAATTTACAACTTTAACTTTGCATATCTGCTTACTTTTGCATTAGAGTTTGGTCAGCACTCTTTAAGAGGTTTGGACATGCAACTAATAGGGCTTTCTTTAGCCTTCTACTCCTTCAAAAATCAGAGGTAACCAGTGATCAGTGTTGTTATAAACAATGCAGAGGATAATACTACTACGTGACATTCACTAAGAGCTAAGCACTGTGCAAAATGCTTCCCTGGGTTGTTTTACTTCATCCTCATCACCTCCTGCGAGGTAGGCACTGTTATGACTCTTGCTTTCCAGACGAGGAAGCTGAGGTTTATTCAGAGGGTGCTGTACTCAAGGCCTCAGGGGGCTACTCCAGAGTCCCCACTTCAAAATCCTCTTAAGACCAGCTCTCTCATTTGACAAGTTAGAAAACAGACTCAGAGAGGTGACACAACCTGAGTTTTTATCTTTTGACACCAGGTTCAATTGAGTGCTATGTGTCAAGCATACTTTTAAAAATTTTATGGGGGTCAGCCGAGTGGCGCGTTGGTTAAGAGCTGGCTTGGGATGCCAGAGGGCCCCGGTTCGGATCCCACATATGAGGGCCAGTGACACTGCCCCCTACAGCTAAGATGATGAACAACAGCTCGACCTGGAGCTGGGTCGCCATGAATCGCTGGCGATGGCAGGTGGGTTGCCATGGGCTACCGTGTGTAGCCAGCAGCCAGCGTGAGCAGCCAGCTGCTGCTGTGAGTGGCCGTCCAGAAGCCGGTGACTGATTTGCCTCTCCTGGGAAGAGCGCAATGATGGTGCCAACTTGGGCCAGTGAAGCAACGTCCTCTACAACTAGACTGAAGAACAAAAGGATAGCAACTTGTCTGTTCCCCTTCCCTCAATTCCCCAATAAAAATCTTTAAAAAAAAAAAATTTTTGTTATGGGTATTATTTAATCCCCATAAGATAAATACTGTTATTATCCCCATTTTACAGATGAGAAAACTGAGACACAAGTTTTCCAACGTTGCAGCTAATAAGTGAAAGAGCTAGGATTGAACCTTAAGCAGCCTGGCTCCAGAGCCAGGCTCCTACCTGCACTCTGCAGCTGCCCCACGAGAGAGTACCGTTAAAGCTCAGACAGTTACTGCCTTACCGGTATGATATCCACAGGCCTTTCTGAGATCAAGACAAACCAGTTTCCTTCAAGTTTTTGAAATGGAGAAATGCCTAGAGAGGGTTACCAAATCTGTGACATATTTTAAATGTTTAAATGTGACAAATTAACTTCTTTAATACTTAAAAAGCAATGCAATACCATTCTGCTATTTGCAAGATAATTATGAAATTCACAAGAAATATTAATGTGTGGGGCTTTTATAGTAGGGTGGTGTAGGAAGGAGGCACGATTTAAAGTTGCTGACGAACATCTCCTTTCAACCCCATGAGTGTCTGTTGTTCCGTGTGTGACTTTATTTGGAAAACACATCAGGAGTCCAATTGGAGGCTCTTTGGGAATGACAGGGTCGCCACGTCCTGACCCGATTTAGTGGTATATAGAGCCAGCAGCCTTGTGCCCAATCTTTCTTTTGTTTTAACAATGTTGGTGGCTGAAAGGCTAAATGTTTATAGGAGATTCTATTAAAATACTGAGCTGTGTTGGTTTTAGTTAAAAGAAAAGCCACCAAATGTTGATTGACAAGGTTTTGGTTTTATATCCTATATGTTTTATGGTTAGTTTCTTTTTACAAATTCCTTCCTTTTTTGATTATTTCCTGGTCCAACTTAAGTTCCCTAGGAAAGAAGGGGATTTTTCTTTTTTTCTTAAATCAGAAAAATAAATCAAGTTATTATCCTGGATGAAAACATTAAAATACAGGGCCCATTTCTGGTCCCACTGGTGACTCGCTCTGCAGCCTTAGGAAAGCCAGTTAACCTTTTACTCATTTTTTTTTTGTTTGTACAATACGAATGACACTGTTGGCATCACATTTTTCCAAAACATTTTTTCAGAGTTTTGAATGAAAGATATTAAAAATATTGCCAGCATTATTCCCAGCTCCCACTCAACAATTGGCTCTAATTCCTAGCCCCTTAGAAGCATTTGTAGGTGAGGCTCTTATCACACCATGTTAATCATAACTTTCACAGTTGTGTTGTGTTGTGTCATTTCAAAAGCTAATGTTTTGGTATCGACTGCATTCTTAAAGGGTTAGAAAACACAACACGGCTCCGGCTCCATTTCCATAAAATGTCACATTCTTATTAGCACGTCACCCTAGGGATTATGCAACTCTGTTCATAGATATAATCAGCTTTGTATTTCATTCAAGGATAACAAACTAGCGAGGTTGAAATCTTGACTTGTCATCGGAATTGAATTGCTCCCGGGAGCTGGGAGGGAATGCGACTGAGTCCAGCTGTTCAGAAATGAAAGTTGTCTTTCAAATCTCAATCGTTTGCTGTCCCTTTCTTCTCCTTCCAGTACGGTGACTACGACCCCTCTGTTCACAAGCGGGGGTTTTTGGCCCAAGAGGAATTGCTTCCTAAAAGGGTAAGAAATCAAATTCCCTGTTTGGGAGGACATAGCCGATACGTGGTTTACAAGAAAGTTAACTGAAGGACTTGAAGGAATAAAAGAAGTACCGTATTTGCCGGCGTATAAGACGATTTTTTGGCCCTGAAAAATATGCCTCCAAGTGGGGGGTCGTCTTATACGCCAGGTACACTTCAGATAGACTGCCCATAGTGCTTGCCCCGTGCCATAGTGGCCTCCCGATGCCCGCCCACTTCATTCCACATACCGTTCAGGCATCAGCAGCGCTGCTGGGTGTATGCTCGGCTGTTATGCGATTTTGCTGTTATGCGATTTTAGCACACTCGCAAAATCTACGGTACCAGTCTATAGAGTGTGTTTTCTTTAGTGAATTACCGGTATGTTTACCGGTAATAAACTTGCACTGTTTTATGTATATGTTTGATTACATACAGCCTTGTGACAGTTTTCCTGCATGTCATAAGCATTTGAATATAAATATAAATGTTGAAATCAAATCTGATATTGTTTTACCTTTTATTTGGTGTGTGGAAGGTGTGCGGAAGAGGGGGTAGTCTTATACGGCGAGTATATAACAAACTCTGTATTTTGAGTGGAAATGTTAGGGGGTCGTCTTATACGCCCAGTCGTCTTATACGCCAGCAAATACGGTACATAGCAAGAACATTATATATTTTATAATCAACCTTGAGTAAAGAGTGTGAAATCTCTGTTAAAAATATTAAAAAGCAAAGGTTCATGGAATCAGTTTGGGGTTGCCAGGACCAGCGTGGCCTGCACATGGTCCTTTCTTTAAAGGTGGGTGAGCATCATTGATTCCCAGGAAGGCATGTGGAGCAGCATGTGTTCAGCCCGGGGAGTGGAGCTATTAGCATCTGCTTCGGTGGATAGAGGAGATGAGTTGGGGTTGGGCATTGTAGTTTTTAATCCTTGGTGTTGTTCATCTTGCTCATTAGCCACAGAAGTGAGCCTTCCCTCCTTTTTGCTGCTTCTGATTTTATAGCTCCACTCATCCATCATGTGTAATAAAGGCCTGCGCCTCACCTTTCCTGGCTTTGTCTGCTCCTTTGATGGCTTCTGTGCAGGCAAAGGCAGCAGCACACACAGCCCGGCCTGCAGGGCTGGCCCTCGATTAGTGAGCACTGCTCTGGCCGAGGTCCTCCCTCTGGGTTGTACAGCCCAGGAAAGAGGTGCTGCTGCCCAGCGAGGGGTGCCCCTAGGCCTGAGTGATGGTGCAGCTTTCCCAGTTGTGACTCACACTGAATGCTGTTTGTTTACATGCCCACCCCAGCCTGTGACTGGCTCCCTGTGTGCGGCTTTTTGCAAATAGCTGTGCTGTTTTATAAAAATCATGCACAATTGTAAAATGGCAAACAATACCCAAACTTTCCTTGTGTGTGGGTTTTTTATTTTGCTCTATTTTTTGATAGGTAATAAATCTGTATCAAATGACTCCAGAAATGTGGGAGGAGAGGATTACAGCCTGGTACGCAGAGCACCGAGGCCGAGCCAGGTGAGGCTGTTTCATTTTTAGTTTCTATTTCTTTATGGGCTTTTTTTTTTTTTTTGAGAACTGTAAAACTGGGACATGCTTGTTGAACCAAGTGGGTATATAAAAGAAAAGAGAGAGCTGGGAGTATTGCTGGTAGTCTTCAGTTTTGCGTGTCCTTTTTCAAGTGGTATAAAGTGGGCATGGGTACTTACTGGCTGTCAGGATGTACAGACCCTACTGTAGTCATTGGTAATTTAGTTGCATTTTAAGAATTGTGTGGATATCCCATAGCTTTTGCATCCATCTCTACTGATGGCATTTGGAATGGCTATAGGTTTTTCACTTTTACAAAATGTGCTGCGGTATATACAATCTTATATTGTTATATAATTGCATGAGTAGTTTTGCCCATAGATTCTTTAGAAGAATTGCTGCGTCAAAGGATGTGAGCATTTTGCATTTTGACAGATGCCACCAAATTGCCCTCCGTAAGGGTTGTACCTGTTTACGTGCCCATCGACAGTGTATGAGAGTGTCTCCATCCTCCATTCTCTCCACTGATAAAAACCCAAATCTCATAATATGATGCTGAGTAAAAGAAGTGAGACACAAAAAATAGAAACTGTCTGACTGCGTTTCTATAAAGTTTAAAACAGGCACCGCTAATCCAGGGAGTTAGAAATCAGGAGAGAGGTTCCTTTTGGGAAGGATAGACGGGGAGCAATGGGGAGGTCGTGTGCTAACTTGTCACCTGGTATTACATGGTGTTTTCACTTTGTGATTATTCATCAAACGGTATGTTCATGACCTGTCTACTTTTCGGTATGGATGTTATACTTTTTGAAAAGTTAAAAAAAAAAGAATGTGACAGGAAGTTGATTTGAAGAAGAGTGAAAAATTTTAAAAGACTAATGAGATGATCAGAGAAATGCTAATTAATATTTAAGATACAATTTTTTACCTTTAAGATTACAAAAATTACATTGATAAAAACAAGTGTTGTTCCCCTCCCCCAATTCCCCAATAAAATCTTTTAAAAAAATAAAATTCATTTTTTTTTTATTGGGGATGGGAACAGTGCTGGGGAATCGGGGGAAGGGGAACAGACAAGTTGCTGTCCTTTTGTTCTTCAGTCTAGTTGTGGAGGACGTTGCCCCACCGGCCCAAGTTGGCACCATCATTGCACTCTTCCCGGGTGAGGCAGATCGGTTGCCGGCTTCTGGACGGCCGCTCACTGTGGCTGCTGGCCGCTCACACTGGCTGCTGGCTACATACGGTAGCCCATGGCAACCCACTGCCACAGGGGCTGCAGCCTCCGCCGTCACCGGCGACTCACAGCTGCCCAGCTCCAGGTTGAGCTGTTGTTCACCATCTTAGCTGCAGAGGGCAGCGTCATTGGACCTCACATGTGGGATCCGAACCGGAGCCCTCTGGCGTCCCAAGCCAGCTCCTAACCATCGCGCCACTCAGCTGGCCCAATAATAAAATTCATTTGAGAGCGAGAGTAGAAGGTAGCTCTGCAGAAAGAGTTGTTTCACTCCTAAAAACCTTCTAGGTGAGGAAGGTACACAATTAGATAAAGCAACAACTTAAATTTGAACATTCAAATCCATTTGAGGGGAGAAGATAACATATCACATGCTTTTCTTGAATTACTTGAAATGATTGTCACTATTTATCAAGGGCAAAGCGTGAAATTGAAGCCAAGAGATGCTGTAATGAATTTGTTCTCTTATTTTTGTGGGGATGGGAAATTCTGCTTGACCTCATCATGTGTAATAGACTCAGGGCTAGGAAGAGCTTCACTGGTATCTGCTCTGGCTTGCGTCTTCTGGCAGGTTTGACTGCTCAGCTTGGCATGCACCACCCTTCGGTTTTCTCACTTAGCTCCGGTAACAGTGTCTTTCATTCTCCTCACAGAGACGAAGCTGAAATGGAATATCTGAAGATAGCGCAGGACCTGGAGATGTATGGCGTGAACTACTTTGCAATCCGGGTGTGTGGAAGCCTGTCTGAGTTCTGGGAGTGTATAAACAGAGATCAAACCTGGGACAGTCTGCTAAAATGGGTTACTTCCTTGTTCTAGGGTGGTAGACTCTTTAATGGTTCAGTAGTGAAGAGAGGGTCTTATAGCCTCATTGTCTATTTTTGGACTTCAATTAGATCCTAGGTAATTAAGTGTCACTTGAGCCTTGGGGGGACTTGGCGCGCTGGTCCTGCGCTCGGCAGAAACCTGTTTGAATGCTGCCAGTGTAACATTTGATTATTTCTGGCTCTGTGAGATCTTCAGGGGGCACCTGTAAGTATTCCCCTCCCACCCACCACCCACCCCCCGCCGGGGCACAGGGAGAGTAAAACTGCTTTTATAGATTACTAATTTGTTTGGGTGGCGACTCTTGTTCTCACTAGCAGGCTAATTGGTTTTCTATTCAGACCATCATTAGTCCATTGTCCTCTGGGAACCCATTGCTTCGGCATCAGATAGGCGTTTGTTTTCAGCAGAGGTCTGGCCTTTCCAGTCTTTCTCCCAAAGGTCCCCTGCTGGATGCAGCGTGTAGGCAGCTCCTTCCAAAGGAGTTTATGTGAATTTGCTAAAGTGTTTCATGGCTGGCTCAAAACTATAACTGAGTAGACATTAAAACAACCGTCCACAGCAGTCCACCTTTATAATCACACTATAGTTTGCTTTCCTTTTTTGGATTCCTATAAATTTTATATTAAATTTGGGTAAATTGAAACACATTTTAAATATTCTAGAGTAGGTATCTACCTGATTTGTTTTCTAAATACAGATTTTTTTTAAAGGATTACTTTGCTTAAAATAAGACACACTGAAAAGTTATATTATTTCATATAGTAAAAAAGTGCCTAAAAGATTTTCTATAATAATGCAGAAGGTTATTTTCTAAATTTGTATTAATTTGTGTTTGCTAATTGTTTTGTTCCTTTAAAGTCAGACTACTTTAACACATTTCTGTGGTTTTGTCAACATAAGTCCTCTTGCCTCATATGCCCACCCCCTAGATGCTAGAAAACTAGTGTTTTACAATTCTTAAAAAACAGTTTCTTGTTAGGGAATATTTCTGTAGCAGTCAGATAGTGTTTCATGTGTGTTTCTTGTATTACGCTAGACAAATAGAAAAAGCTAATGGATATTTTAGTGTCTTTTGTGTTAAAGTTCCTGAAATTTTACCATCAACTAAGGAAGATATGGGCATGTGCTTAAAACAATTTACAAACAGCTTCTTGAGTCCTTGTCACTCTCTCTCGCTCTGAAATGTTGGAGTCATAATGACAGGAGGCAGAGGGTAGAATCCTTTTTTTTAAAGTTAAATTAATTAGTCAGAAACATAATGAAATATCTCGTTTTCCAAAATGTAGCATAGATTTTAAAAGTACAAAGCCTCACTTGTGTTAACACAGTCATAGTTTTAAGAGCTTTGCAGATGAGGTGAAGAATCTCTCATGGTTTGGTCATAACACCTGACATCAGGGTGTTAGAAGGAGAAAAACAATTTATCTTGGAGCACTCACTTCTCCATCTGACACCTGCTGTTAGGTTGGTACTTCTCATCACAGTCCAAGTGCCTTCTGTTTGCAAATCTGTTTTCCTGCCCTTGAGTCTAGGTTCAATCTCTTTGTTGTCAGCAAGGGGTCAGGTGCAGAGGGCTTTCTTCTACCGTCATACAAAGGCCAGACCACAGTGCAGGTGGATGGGCCTGCAGCATGAGGATGTGGCCTCCAGGTCCATAGCTGGGTCAGTGACGTGGGGCCCCAGGGTGTTTGTACTCTGGCTGTCTGACTGCTGACGAGAACCGCCATCAGAGGTATAGCATATGTACAGTCAATCAAATTTTTAAACAGCTTTATTGAGGTATAATATATAACTCATTTTGACATATTTTTCCAACATTTTATTATAAAAAATTTCAAGGAATTTTTGAAAGACTTTTATAGTGAATACCCATATCTACCCACTGCCTAGATGCTATAGTTAACATTTTACTATACTTGATTTATCACATTAAGACTACGGTTTTTTTGGGGTTTTTTTTTTTTTAGCTGAGCCACCCTGTCACCTGTTGGTAGCTCAGCGGCTGCTCAGCTCAGGCTGTAACTCGAACCGCTGTTGCTCAGATCTCAAACTCTTGAGCGAGCTCTTAACCAACTGAGCCACTCAGCCGGCCCTAAGAGTACGTTTTAACATGGGATAAGACCATCTGATCCTAGCACTTAGAATTTTCTCTCAGGTAGTCCAAGAATCTTTTAATATAAGAAATGATTCATCCTACAGATTTTTATTTTACATCTATTATAACCTGATTATTTAGTTAGAGGTTAACAATGCTCAGATAGCTGCCACTTTAGACATCGAGCCAGTGACAGGAGCTTTTCGTGGTCCCTCTAGGGACAGGCGAGTCACAAGAACGATAGTTTTGCCTCTGCCTGCCTGAATTCAGGAAGCTGGAGGCCCCCTGGGCTACAAGACAGTTGTGACTTCTGTTGGGCCCTGTTGAAACTTGTCATATGTAACAGTGTGTGCCAGGTCTTTTGGGAAGTTGAATAAAATCTCAAGACTCAGCTGGAGCTGACAGTGGCTGTTCTTTGTCGAATCTACAGAATAAAAAGGGCACAGAGCTGCTGCTTGGAGTGGATGCTCTGGGGCTTCACATCTATGACCCTGAGAACAGGCTGACCCCCAAGATCTCCTTCCCGTGGAATGAAATCCGAAACATCTCGTACAGTGACAAGGAGGTAGGACGTGTCTGTACTGCAGGTGCACCAGTGGCCCAGCAGAAGGCCTTTCCGCATCTCTCCTCCTCACTGTAGCATCCCCAGCCAGACTTCTCCTGTTGCCAGGAAAATCTTTTCATTCCCAGGCTTCGGGTTTCCAGTTGTTGATTTTTATAGTATTTATAGAACAGAATTGGCATTGTATTTTCAAATAGCATCACTAACCCTTCCACACTGAGTAAAAAGAGGCTGGGGAGCTAAACCTATCAGGACTAAACCTCAAAGAACAGTAAATAAACCAAAAAGTAACTTTTTTTATTACTTGGCTTTCTATTGCTGATGAGAAATTCTCTTTGTATTTTAAGTGTGGTATGTGTTAAATCCTCTGTCTGTGTCCAATGCTTGATACATGTGGTGTGTATGTGTGGGTGTATGATATCAGCAATGATATAAATAATGATATCAGGCTAACCTGCTTATAAGAATTTGAGAATAAGTTTAAATAACAGATGAACACTCTAAGTTAGAATACAAATATTTCTAAATAGGATGGTGACCTTTCCCCAAACACTGTAATCCTATATTCGTTTGTTCATTCACTCATTCATTCTTGGTTAATTTTAAAGGGATTATTGAGCATCTGCTTTGTGTTGGGTTTTGTAGGGGAAACACACATGTAGAAAATCCTGTGTCAGACCTCAAGGAAGTTATAGTCAGGTAACGATTGGGCTGCTGAGGTGCGTAACTGCGGTGTGAGGGACTGACCACAAAGGTGATGGTGATATAGTGCTCTTCTGCTTACAAGTGCTTTCACCCTTACTCTTCTGATTCAGTCCCCACAAGAACACTGCTGGAAGAGTAGGGGCCGTGTTTTGGTTGTCTGTGTCACATCAGGGAGCAGAGATGTAGAGGGATCAAGTGACGTGTGTCTGGTGAGTGGAATAGCAGGGGCTGAGTTCCAGGTTCGCTGAAGCCACATCCCCTGCTTTTCTGGGAGCACAGAGGGTAAGCCCCGAGAGCACAGGGCACCAGGCCGAGGAGAGCAGGCCCAGACAGTGCCTAGTGGCGTCCCGGGCCTGCACAGCCAGGACGCTGAGTGCAGTGGCGGCTCCTGTTACTGCCTGCAGAGCCCCAACCCCTGAGTAGACTTCCTGTTTTCTCTTTCCTTGTAACAACTCGGGAAAGGAAACACCAGGTCCCTCATTTCTAATACATGGTTGAGATCTACGCAGCTGTGCTTGATGAAACAGATTGAGCTTCTTAACTCAAAACATTCTGGCTTTCAAAGTTTTGTAAGTAGCCCAGGAGACGAGCATTTGGGTATTTATTTTTTAAAGTACTTAAATTGAAAGCTCCGCATGACTTAAAGCAGTAGGTGTGCCATGGTATGGTCGTTTTTCATCTCTAATTTTATAAAGTCTGTTTACTGCACATCCACAAATTTGTGTGCTAAAGGCTCCCAAAACACTCGTTCTTCGCAGACCTAAGGATTAAAGTCTCCCCTAGAATAGCCTGACACACTAAAGTCTAATATACCCTCTCCAGGGGCAAGACACCATCATGTTCCATCATGTCAATAACTCGCACAGTAAGAAGACTCCAGGCTGGTTTGACATAATAGGAAGTAGTCTTAGCAGTTAAGTATGACAGCCATGCTGTCAAAACAGAAATGTTGGTTTATTTTGAGTGATCCATTGATTCTTTGAGTGCACCCTGGCATGGCGCAGAGCCTGCGGTTTCCCCATTACTTGTGGTTTCCCGCTGACAGCTCTGGGATTTGACAGCAGGGCCAAAAATAAGCTCACGAAATTCACAAATAGCAGCCTACACAAGCCACGCCACTTCTAAGTTAACTTGACCAAAAGCTAAACAAAGGATCCTTTTCTGTTCTCATTGTGCTACCACCCCTTGTTGGACAATATAACATGAGGAAGAAATACCCAAGAGTATATCTTCCAAATGTATTATATTTATCTGCTTAGTAAGTCTTTCCTGGGAATGAATAGCCGTTTTTTAAGTGCATCTTTGAAATGTAGGATCTGTCTGGTCTCATCAGGAATGGTTGAGAACAGCAGTTGCCATTTGTTCTTTATATGCGCTGTCCTGCCTAGTGGTCTGGCCCTGGGTTCTCACACTAAGCTACCACCATATTTTTATCATTCATCTTTCTCACCCCGTTGATTTCAGGAACTATGTTTTCCTCTTCCACTATAGTCCATTCATCTTCACACTTTATTGTATTCCTTCAGCTTTCATTTAATAATCCCCATGTTCAGAAACCTGGAGTGACTCGCTGTATGCTGTCACATCAAATCTAAACCCTTCTGACTGTCTACCCTCAACCCACCTCACCACCCCTGCCTTCCTCTCTGTCTAAGCCCCTGGTATCATCTTAGTTATCAAAGAGCTAATAATGGCAAACACACACACACACACACACACAGTGCTCATTTCCCCATCTATGCTTTATTTCTATTGCTTGCCCTATCTAGAATGTCCTTCTATCCTACCTTTTAGCTTTTCTGTCATATTCTTCATCTAAGACCAGCGTATGTCCCCTCCTACTTATGGTAGATCTACTCTGAACCCCCTAGGACATATGTGATTTGTGCCATCCAATGAGGCACTAATATTTGATATAATTTCTTGAGTAACTGACTGTTGCTGGTCTAGTCCCAGCTAGGTTGTAAGCCTCCTAGAGTCAGGGCCCGTCAAGGGTTCATATCTCAGGTTTAGATGATGCCTAAGATGGTGCCGAGAGCATACCTCCCAGGATCCTGAACTTCCACAGCCCTAGACGTGGTGCCCTCAGATGCTTATAATTCACCGCGGTTTAGTGCCTGGGCACCAGGAAGCCAGGAGAAGACACAGCCTCGTGCTGGGTCTTTGCCAGTGTGGTGGCTGCTTTTGTGGAATGTCCCAATTGGTGTTAAACATTCTAGGCTGTCAGACTGAAACCATTCTCTCCTTCTCTCTTTCAGTTTACTATTAAACCGTTGGATAAGAAAATTGATGTCTTTAAGTTTAACTCGTCAAAGCTTCGTGTTAACAAGCTGGTAAGTTGAGATCTTGGTTTTTATTACTGATAACTGTAGTTTTTGTGAGAAATCAAATGCCTTTTTTAAAAGAGTATCAGAGTGACGTCTTGTGAGGTGTAGAATATAGTTCACTTGGTACATGCTTTTCTGATAGGCCTTGAAAGACTCCTCTCTTTAGATTAACCTGAAGAGTTAAACCTAAATTTTATGATGAAGAATTTTTAAAAATTACTTTTATTGAAGTACTTCATAAATATAAAAGGATAAGTATATATAAGGTATAAAGGACAACAAAAATAAATAGCTGTATACCCACTGCCTAGCTTTAAGAAATAACACACCCCCAATACTGTTGAAACCCCTCATATTAGCGAGTCCCCCACTCTTTTCTCCTCAAGGGTGATCATCATTCTGAGCTATATGTTCATTATCCCCTTGCTTTTTTTTTTTTTAAGATTTTTATTGGGGAATTGGGGGGGAAGGGAACAGACAAGTTGCTGTCGTTTTGTTCTTCAGTCTAGTTGTGGAGGGTGTTGCTTCACTGGCCCAAGTTGGCACCATCATTGCGCTCTTCCCGGGCGAGGCAGATCAGTCGCCGGCTTCTGGACGGCCGCTCACTGCGGCTGCTGGCCGCTCATGCTGGATGCTGGCTACACACGGTAGCCCATGGCAACCCACTGCAGCAGGGGCTGCAGCCTACGCTGTCGCCGGCGACTCATGGCAACCCAGCTCCAGGTTGAGCTGTTGTTCAGCATGTTAGCTGTAGAGGGCAGTGTCACTGGCCCTCATATGTGGGATCCGAACCAGGGCCCTCTGGCGTCCCAAACCAGCTCTTAACCATTGCGCCACGTGCTGGCCCTACACATTATTTTTTGCGATTTATCTATGTTGATGCTTGAAGTTATGATCCCTTCATTTTCACTGCTGTATACTATTTCATTATATGAGTGTGTGTGCATGCGCGTGCACATGTGTATATTTTTCATTCTGCTATTAATGAACAGTTAAGTGTTTTCCACTTCTGTCCCATTTTAACAAGATTGTTATGAACATTCTCGTACCTGCTTCCTGGTGCATATGAGCAATATTTTCTCCAGGGTCTAGGGAATATGTACATATAGCCCTAAACGTGCTGCAGGGCTGTAGTGTATGTCCACATTCAAGATCATGCCATTTTCTTTTCCAAAGAAGATGAATTAATTTACAAATCTAACAGCAGTGGGTGAGACTTCTTTTTTGCTTTTATATCCTCAGCAATTGTATTATCAATCTTTAAAATTTTTTCCAATCTTGTGCATATACAGTGGTATCTTGGTGTCATATTAATTTGCATCTTTATATTTACTAATGAGGTTGAACATCTTTTTGTATATTTATTGGCCAATATTTTTGTCTCTTCTATCAAATACTTGTTCAGTGTCTTTTGGCCATTTTTCTCTTGGGTTGTTTTTTTGTTTTTGTTTTTTGGTTCTTTTTTAAGCTGAGCCATCCTGTTACCTATTGGCAGCTTAGCGGCAGCTCAGCTCAGGCTGGGCATCAAACTGATGTTGCTCAGAGCTCAAAATCTTGAGCGAGCTCTTAACCAACTGAGCCACTCGGCTGGCCCTCTCTTGGGTTGTTTTCTTTATTGGTTATATCTTCTTCCAGTTTGTGACTTATTTTTCCTCTGTTTTAAATAAAGTTTCAAAGGCATGGTCTTTGCATTTTAATTTTTAATAATTCTGGAGTTGATTTTTGCATGTGGTGTAAGGGAGGGATCCAACTTATTTTTTTCCACATGAATAACCTGTTGTCACAGCCCAGCCTATTGAGTGAATGTTCCTTTCCTACATGATCTATAGAGCTGTATCTTGACTTAGCAGAGTGAAGTGCATCCAGAAGATATGCCAAAGTGTCTTCTATTCCTCTCTTCACTTGTAATTTTTGCACCCTGGCATATCTGAGGCACCTTTATTTTGCTGTCTGCAGAGCTGAGAGCCCTAGAGTACATTAGTAAGTAGGGCTTTGGTGTTTCATGCTACCCTTTCCTCTTCAGGCTTTCTGCTGCCCACAGAGCCCTCAGACTAAGATGGTGTAGCCCCGGTGAGCTGTAGGCAGCAAAGTACATTTGTGGGTTTAACATTTTCCCTACTTCCATGGCCACAGATTCTTCAGCTCTGTATTGGGAACCATGATCTTTTCATGAGGAGAAGGAAGGCCGATTCTTTGGAAGTTCAGCAGATGAAAGCCCAGGCCAGAGAGGAGAAAGCTAGAAAGCAGGTGAGCAAGACCGGGTTTGGACTGCTTGGTGACCTTGGCCTGGGAGATAAGGAGTGGTGGTGGGCTGACTGGAGTCATTTGGTCACGGACATGCCTACTCTTATTTTACCCCTTTTGGTTCTTCCTTGGCTGATGCCCAGCTGGTGGGGTATCAGCTCTGGAAATGAGTAATAAACTCTAATAGCTATCTAAAAGAAACATCTTTAGTTATTTCTCCACTTAAGTGATGTAAGTAAAGTGGGAACAGATAGTCTGCACGTATCCATCCATCCATCCATCCATCCATCCATCCATCCATCCATTTGTCCATCCATCCATTCGTCCGTCCATCTCTCGTCCAGCCTAGCTAAGCCTTCCTTCTTTTTGCCTGCCTGTCTCCTTTTCCTGGACGTCTCCTTTTCTAATTAGATGGTGATGAAATGCACGGCAGCATTTCCGTGCCTGCTGCTGGAATGCTAATTAGACTCCGGCTGCACTTCCTCGCTGTAGATCAGCCTAGGCGGCCCATCGCCTGCCACGGGGGATGCCGGGAGCGCCCATCAGCAGACTGGATGATCTACATCATTGTTTTCTCCTCATAGATCTTTTTGACTCACCGAAATCTACTCAACTAATCTGAGCCTCGCTGCTGAGAATATTAATTGTGGTTTTGGACGAACTATTAGATAGAGTAGCAGCAGCTGCAGTCGGCTGCCCTCAGGCCTTGCAAGCTCAGAGGTCTAATAATTAGTCTGCGTGCAGCTCTCTCTGATTTGAGGACTCTGGCAAGACAGGCTCCCAGCCTTGACAGTCAGAGTGAAATGCCCAGTTTGATCCAGTGTGTCTTCAGCTCTCCATCTTTTTGCTTTCTGAAACGGAAGGCCATAGATGTGCTCTTAGGGATGTTTTGAGGATGGTAGAATGGGTTTTGTTGCCCAAAGAACTGCTCCTGAGCCAGCACAGGGTCATTGGGGCAACTTTCAGAGGAGCCCCCCTCTGACCTTTTTTCAGCAGAGCAAAGCTTAGAAGTGAGAGATCTGAACATGACAAATTGAGTGTAGGCCTCTGCGCTGTGGCAGAGAATGGCATGAACACACCCCAGACCTTCACTGCCTGTAGACCTTCACTGCCTGTAGACCTTCACTGCCTGTAGAACAGTAGAGGCACACTCCTGGCACCTGGCAACCACAGGTCAGGGACTCTATGTCCCCTGTACAGACACTGACCTTGGAGCCAGATGTGAAACTTAGTATGGGATGTTAGTAAATGACTTACCTTCTAGACCTGTTTAGTCATCTGTCACGTGGCGCTATTGATACCTCTTCTCTGTCTCAGATCAAAGGACATATTGAGCCTGAAAATCTTTGTAGCTTAAAACTGCTTTGCAAACAGGAGGTCCCTTATTATGGAGGTGGAGGTCTCAGGGAAAGTGCAGTGCTGGGAATGGATGGGGATGGCCTGCGCTTTTTTCAAGTGGAGAATAATGGAAATACAGTTATCTACCTAATGGAAATCGTAATACGATGGAAATTAGAGAACAAATTGGCCAAGCTTTTCATTGACCTGCAAGAGGAAAATTGGAGAAGAATTTATAGTATCTTATTGCTTGTCTTTGCATTATTCCTTCGAAGGCCAATGCTTTTTTTTTTTTTTTTGGCTTCGTATTTGGAAAAAGCAGCAGTCTTAGAAATCTTGTGTTTGGGAGAAGATTGAAGCAAGAAGTAATTAAATGTGCTTTAATTATTTAAGGAAGAAAATAGTGCAGTGGTCACTTCTGGCTTCTCCTTTCTGAATGCAGTGAGGACTGTAGGATCACAGACAGTGACTCTTCTCCTGTGCTTGTTTGCCTTATTAAGCTCAGCATGTGGCCCGATTAATACAGTGATCCAGAAGGCAAGGGAGGTGGTGGCGGTTTTGTACTGGTGCCTTAAGAATGGGGGGCTCTGCTCCCTGCCTGGCTCCCTCCTGCCACAGGCCTGGCTCAGGAGTCGCCCCTGCGTGAGGCTGTGAGAGTCTGTGGTGTGGCTGCTGCCGCTTCCCCCTGTGCAATACAATGTGTGTGCTACTGATGCATCACACAGAATGATTCTATCTTCTCTGCGGGTCAGCGGCAAGAGTGGAGCTATTGTTGATGAAATTAGAAGTGGTGTGAGAGGGGTACGTGTAGATTAGAAATGGCGAGGTGGCTCATCCAACCAGATGAGAAAGCTGTTCCTGGGGGCCCCTCTCAGGGAGAAGGAACCTGCATTGTGTCCTGTCAGCCATAGGGCAGAGCCATGTGAGTTCTCCCAGCAAAAAGGGATTTTAGCAAGGTGGCTGTATCAGCACACAGTGTGTAAGAATGCTTCCTTCGATCCAGGTGGAGACCAAGCTTGGTTTTTTGTGCCTGGTTTATTTGTTCATTCACCACCAGATGTGTTTCAATTAACACAGCTTTCAACTCTGCAGCTGGCTTAGAAGCACAGAGGGTGGTGGGCGACAAGAATGACACTGGCTACCAGAAGAAAAATGTCCCCAAAGGGGATACTCTGGACACTGGGTGTTCTCAGATCCCTGTGGCACCACAGGTCATGAGCCTCGTGACTCAGTGACCGCTCTCATCCCCCACTCCCCAGATGGAGCGGCAGCGCCTCGCTCGAGAGAAGCAGATGAGGGAGGAGGCTGAACGCACGAGGGACGAGTTGGAGAGGAGACTGCTGCAGATGAAGGAAGAAGCGACGATGGCCAACGAAGCACTGGTAATTCCCAAGGGGTCTGGGTCCCAGGAGGCTACACGGGGACTTGCTTGGTTTGCTGGAATTAGACCCCCCGGGGATCACAAATTAGTGACATTTGCTTTGACATTTCAGCTTAAAAAAAAATAATACACCATTGCCTTTTCTTTCCACCTGTGCTGGCAGAAGCAGATTTAAGTTGAGCTCTGTGCAGCCAAACTCAACTTTCACTGTGGGTTGCCTTTAAAGCAGGGCCTCTCAGCCTTAGCACTACTGACATTGGGTCCCGATTGTCCTTTGTGGTGAGAGCTGCCCTGTCATTGAAGGATGTTTAGCAATGTTCCTGGCCTCTATCTACTAGATGCCAGTAGCATTACCTCACCCCCCCCCCATTTGTGACAATCAAAAAGGTCTCCAGACATCGTTACATGTCCCCCAGGTGGCAGAGTCTCCACTGGTTTGGAACCACTGATTTAAAGGGAAAGAAGAACAGAATTAAGTTGTTTTTCTCCCTCATAAAGCATAAGCCTTTGTTCAAATGGGTACTCTGAAAAGGTGCTTTCTTCTGGCGCCCTATGGATAGAACCTGAAGGGCCCTTCTGACAAGTGGAGGGGTGTGGCTTGTCATCTGTTGCTAGAGTGTCATCTGAGGGGACACTCAGTGCCAGGGCCCTACGGAATCCGAGACTGGTTCTTGCTGATCTGAGTGTCTGAGGTCAGGTCTGGTGGGATAGCAGGCACGTGATCCCCGCTCTAGCGGATGATGCTCTTCTCTCCAGATGAGGTCTGAGGAGACAGCTGACCTATTGGCAGAAAAAGCCCAGATCACCGAGGAGGAGGCCAAACTCCTGGCACAGAAGGCTGCAGAGGCCGAACAGGAAATGCAGCGCATCAAGGCCACGGCCATTCGGACTGAGGAAGAGAAACGCCTGATGGAGCAGAAGGTGCTAGAGGCTGAGGTGCTGGCACTGAAGATGGCTGAGGAGTCAGAGAGGAGGTCAGAGGTGGGGGCGGGCAGGCGCTCCTGGGCACTGGGACCAGGGCGAGGGGCTGCTCAGTCCTAATCCTGCCCCGAGGTGGAGCCTGACTGCAGCTGTCCTCAAGCTGCTTCTCCATCTCTGGGGCAGGGGAAAGAAAGGCTCCTCTTTTTGGCAGGTTGGTGGGGGCTGGTGCTTAATCAGTTTTGTAGCTGGAGCTAGTGGAAGGGACACAGGAACACAGTTCTTTTGTTGAGTTGACCTCTGGTCATGCTTTTGCCGTTGTAATAAACCCCTGTCCCTCTGATAGCTGTGTTTGCAGGAAACCATTGAGCATGTCCACAGACTGCTTGTAGCTGAGGAGATGTAAGGAGGCTCTTCTTACACTTAAAAAATGGGGTTCTTTTCCCTTTTTATTTAGGGGGAACGTGGAGCGACAGCAGCTATTTAACATAGCAGCTAGGCACTACATCCCTGCGGCCCTTCCTTGGTGCTAAGGCTCCTGAGGCAGATGGGAGGGGAGCGCTAGGATCTTCTCTGTCCAGGATGCCCAGGCTCACGACCAGGTTGAAGGATGGAACTGTCGTCTGTACTTTTCAAAGACTATTCTGGGCTCTGGATTGTTCTGGTCCAGCAGCCTTCCGAAAAACACATTCCCCACAGCATTTGATTCTAGATTTAGAACACTTGAATCTGGCTTTTCACTACCAAGGAGCATTCACTCAGTTGTCCTCTCTGCTTTTTGCATGTCATTATGCGAATATGGTTCCTTGTTTCCTGCCCTTTCCCAGGCCACTTTCTTTTTGTGTTCAGGTCACTTCCCCCTTGAGTGAGGCCTGTGGGGTTGGGTCCTGTGTCCTACAGGACAAGAACCTGCACCAAGGCACGAGGCCCCCAGTGATGGCGTCCAAGGAGGTTGGCCCTCGCCTGTAGTTGTTTTACTTTGGGCCTGTGAAAAATCATCACTTCCTGCCCTTTGTGGTCCAATATAAGACCTTAAAAAAAAAAAAGTCCTTCTTTATTTTATTATTATTATTTTTATTTTTAAAGATTTTATTGGGGAATCGGGGAAGGGGAACAGTCAAGTTGCTGTCCTTTTGTTCTTCAGTCTAGTTGTGGAGGACACCGCTTCACTGGCCCATGTTGGTATTATCATTGTGCTCTTCCCGGGTGAGGCAGTCGCTTGCCGGCCATTGGACGGTGGCTCACGGCAGCTCACGTAGGCTGCCAGCCACTCACGGTAGCTTTATGGCAGCCCACTGCAGCCCCACTGCAGCCTACACCATCGCCTGCAACTCACGACAGCCCAGCTCCAGGCCGAGCTGTTGTTCACCATCTTAGCTGTAGAGGGCGCAGCGTCACTGGCCCTCATGTGGGATCTGAACCGGGGCCCTACTGCTCAGAGCTGGCGCTCCCAAGCCAACTCTTAACCAACACACCACTCGGCCGGCCCCAATATAAGACCTTTATTCCACTGGACTCTTCCTTTGCCTGTCCCACTCTCACCCAGAAATGAAGCAGAGAAAGCCTGTGGGCCCTCCTCCAACTCCCCTCCCCCTCCACCAATTGTTAAGGTTTCTACTTGACTCTTGTCACCAGCTTCCTGCTCTTCCAGTTTACATTTACCAGTTGAAGTGAGCAATACCTGGGAATGTTGTCCTTGCTTTGGATTTCTGATTTGGAGTTCTGATTTCATATAAATGTCCACCCCCCCCACACACACACACACCCTCCACCACACTTCAGTGTCCTTGTTTGCCTGATCTGGTGCCATCCTCAGGATTCACCCAAGTCCTTCCTCTCCAGGAGGGTAAGGGGGAGGAGGGGTCTCTTTCCTCCACCTGTCATCTTCTGTGGAGCTGATGGCTGCTCCTTTCTGTGCAGGGCCAAGGAGGCTGATCAGCTGAAGCAGGACCTGCAGGAAGCTCGCGAGGCAGAGCGAAGAGCCAAGCAAAAGCTCCTGGAAATCACCACCAAGCCCACATACCCGGTGAGCCCTTCCTCCCCAGCCTGGCAGTGCCTTCAGGGTGACTGTTAAAGCAAACACATGGCAGGATGAGTGAGGCAGAGAGCCTGCAGTTAGGGACTGGGTAGAACACTTGGCCTGCTGCTTGGCCTTGGACGAGTCAGTCACCTCTCTGGTTGCCTAGATAACAGGCAAGAGAACTTGATCTCTAACCTCTGAGTGCCAAGCTGAATATAATCTTCAACTACCAATATATATTAATATCATATACCATAATCGTAGCTCTAGGCAGGGATACTCTGTAGACCTCTTGTGAGCTACTGCCGTGCAAGAACCAGCTTCCAAACTCAATTTGGAGGCAAAATGAATAAAGTCTGCATACAGACTGGGTGCACAGGTGCATAGAGAAGAACTTAGCCCAGCCTGGAGGGGCAGGAGAAGCTCAGGATGGCGCTTGGCTGACTCTTGAAGGGTGAGTAGGAACCAGCCAGGTTGGGAAGAGACGATAGGGTATTCTGGGAAAGTGTACACAAATGTAGGCACTGCACAAATGTAGGCACTGCACAGTCACACACACAGACATGCATGTGGCAGAGAGGCAGGTGCCCAGGGTTGGAGATAGAGGGAAATATAAGCATTTTGCTATTGTCACCTGGTCTGGTTATCTATCACCATGCAGCAAGCCACCCGAAGCCAGCCACGTAGCTCAAACAACCATCTCTCTCATGGCTCAGTGGGTTGACTGGGCTGATTGATGGTCCTTCCTTGGGGTCTCTGAGGCGGCTGCTGGCAGATGGCAGCTGGGACTGGAGTCTCCTGAGGGCTCACCTGGGCGATACGCGGGATGTGTGTGTTTTTAAAACACACGTTGGATCAAACTTTACACACTGCTCTAACAACAAATAAATAAACAAACCCTGGAGGAGAGCAACTATATCGGGTTTTTAATCATATTTCACTGTATGGATTGTAATTCATCTAACCAGTCCCCTATGGCTGTGTATTTAGTCTGTTTTCTTTTGCAATTATGAACAACACTGCACTGAACATCCCTGAACATAAATCTTGCATATACATAAGGCTGTATCGGTAGATTCTCATCAATAGAACCTGGAGTCAAAGAAGACAGTTGTGATGGGAGGTCATGGTGGTGCTGGGAGGCAGGGCCTGTGCTGTGTCCACTGCTTTTGTGGCTGATGGAGGGACGATGGTTAACCCAGCAGTGCCCCTCTGGTAGAACCTGAACCCACTAATTGGAGATTTTTTATTCATAGCCCATGAACCCAATTCCAGCTCCGTTGCCTCCTGACATACCAAGCTTCAACCTTATTGGTGACAGCCTGTCTTTCGATTTCAAGGATACTGACATGAAGCGGCTTTCCATGGAGATAGAGAAAGAGAAGTACGTACGTAGTCTCCCCAGCCTTGTGCCCTGCTTGGGCAGCCAGTGAGCTAGAGCGAGTCGGGCTGGGCCTGGGGAAAGTGGAGGGTTGCTGCCACAGCCTGTCGCCAGCTCCTGCAAAGGTTTGCTCTGTTCTCACCCACTGGAGGAAGAATTTCCTAATCAGAAATGAAGGCCTACAGATGAGCATTCAATCTTCCAGGATAAAAATGACACTTGATTGGTGACCTGGAGATGATACTGGCTCAAAAACCTCACCTCAAGTATAGGACTGGCTTTTGGGATTTTTGAGTTGGTCGGACTGCTGTGCATGTGGTAACAGAGTGTGTGATAATGTTCTAACATAGTAACAGAATGTGTTTCCTAGTTGTGTTCTTTGGCAGCTGAGATCTGCGGCATTCCATGTCTAGAACGAGGGTGAGAGAGACGACACTCAGGCTTGAGGCCAAGGAAATTGAACGTCCAGGCCGGGCCCGCCCTGCTGTGGGGCAGCACTGAGCGGAGCCTGCATGCCCTGTTCCCAGCAGCTCCTGCTGCGTTGTCCCCCTCCTGCATTTTACGGTCAGTGGATCCGAGATGGCAAGGAGTCTCACTGCAGAGGAAACCTAACCGAGGTTCCCCCAGTTCCCAGCTGCAGATAACTGGCCAACTCTGCCATGGCTTACCAGAGAACAATCATAATAGCTACCATGTATTGAGTGCCTGGGTGTCAGGGTGTTTTAGCTTTTATCTCATTTCATCCCCATTAACTAACATCAAATTGACATTAAAGTTAGGGTTTAATGTTCTCATTTGTAAATGAGAACCCAGATTTGGAGCGTTTAATGAACTCAACCCTGCATCACCGGATTCAGCCCCGAGCCCATCTGAACCTCTGCTTTCATTTTGTATGGTGTCTTGGGACAACCCTCTTGGGACAGCATCTCCTTGGATCCCGGGGTGGGCAACCACAAGCCGGGCTGAGGCTCTTTGGGTTCTCACACTGAGGTATAGAACCAGAGTCTCTATCTGTGTGGTTCCTGCTGTCAGAGTTCCCCTTCCAGCCATTCACCATTGTCTCGTCGTGCTAAGTGTTACGTGGTTTTGATCAGGGTGAGGCTGCATCCTGTCCTGTGTCCCGATACCTTGTAGTTTCTATTTTCTTACTTATTAGCTACCTGTGCACATGACAGCATCCATAGGCTCGCATGGGAATCACTACAGAATATTCCTTGGTGTTTGTGTTGCATGGTTTGTCTGGCCATTCCCTTGTAGTTGGACCCTTTGAGGATGATTTCCAGATTTTCACCATCATAGACACAGCGCATCTACCGCAAGTGATGGTGGGGATTTTTTTTCTTCCTGGTGTTGGCTGAGTGAGTGTCTATCATCTTTAGGAGATGACATCCCAAAACATGTAGGGATGTAGGGATGTGGCCACAAACAGTCAGAAGAGCTCACTTGAATGGACTGACTTCTCCGAGAAGGGTTGAGACAAGGAGATTGTTTTGAATGCCAGGAGGCTTGTTCAATGTGTTGTTTTTTGTACAGAACTAAAAACTGTATTACAACTGAGATTTATAGAGTACTTTATAAGAGTTTACAGTAGAATAGAATGTTTTCCTATACTTTATTCTGACTACAGCCCTGCGATCATTATCCCAATTTTGTAGATGAGGAAACAGATTTATACCAGTTTAGTGACTGGCCAAGCTCCCATGGCCATAAGTAGCCAAGGAGAGACATGAACCCCAGGCTTCAGACCCTGGATCCCATGCAGAGTGGCTTATAGGTCGGGAGCATCTTAACCCTGGTAAGTCTCACTGCTAGCCAAATTTGTGATGCACTATGTCCTCTTGCTGGCAGGGTAGAGTATATGGAGAAGAGCAAGCACCTGCAGGAGCAGCTCAATGAACTCAAGACTGAGATCGAGGCCCTGAAACTCAAAGAGAGGGAGACAGCCTTGGATATCCTGCATAACGAGAACTCGGACCGGAGTGGTACTAGCAGCAAGCACAATACCATCAAAAAGGTACCAAGTCTCTTGTCTTTCGCTGATGAGGACAGTCATTAATGAAATGTGAGGTTGGCATCTGGTTTCCTCGGCAGCCGAGTCATTCGACTGTTGTCATTTTTTATATGCACTTAGTTGAGGAAAGTTTTTGACGCATGCCAAAAAGGGAATTTAATCTGCCAGTGACTGTGAACCCATTGGCTTGATGGAAGGGGAGCTTTTAACACAAGCATTTCATGATGAAATGAATCACTGTTAGTGGATGGGTTTTGATCTATCATTTAGCAGTAAAGCAATTCTGTCTTCTAAGCCAAAGGGAGTTATGCCCAGGAAGCTGCCTTAATTAATGAGAAAGTGAAATGAGATGGAGGCTGTTGAGAATGGATTCTCCCGCTAGTCTTTTTGTGTTTTTTAAGTGGCAAGAATTATAAAATTATGTTCTTGATTTAAAAACCAAATGCTGAATTTAAATATGCTTAATGTTTTACTTTTTACCTTAGCCTTTAGAATGGTCTCCCAGTTTAAGGAATATCTGTTTTCAGTGGTTAAGCTGTATCTGAAAACTCTAAGACACCTGCATCTACCTGCCATCATTCATAGGTACAGTTGGAGCCCTGAATTCTCTTGACTGCAGCTAGTATTTATTGACAGCAGGTAGAGAATTCCTTTTAATAGTGTAACCTCTGGCTTCTGTTGTTTACTGCATTTCCCTTCCAAAAGCCAAATTATTAAACAATTAGCAAAAGGGGAGCTGAATTGAGGCTTCAGCCCTCGAGCAGAGAAGTAAAATGATGACTGGGCCAGTGAGCCAGTCAGGCCTCAGAGGAGCTACCCCAGACTCCACCCCGCCCCCCACTTACTCATATGGGCACCAGGAGTGGTCTCATTTTTGCGGCTGGTCCAGTGAGCTGGGCCCTCAGCCACAGGAACCTGGAGTGCTGAAAGCTGGAGAGACCCGTTTCCAAGACATAAAAACAAACAGATGAACTCACTTGTCATAATTTCAGGCCTGTCTGAGCATTTTTTGCAAGTGACACGCGTGGCATTGTTGATATCACAGGGTATGTTTTTGTTTTTCTTCATTTTATTTTGCTGGTTTAGCCTCAAGCCCAAGGCAGAAGACCTATCTGCATTTGAGTCCTCAAAGTAGGTTATTCCCAGGTACTCTGTATGTGGTGATGGTACTGCCCTCTGTGATACTAACCCATGCATGAGCTTGCCTGTCTCTGTCCCCGGGCCATGCCGTGCCCTCCCGAGGACAGGTGGTGCCTGGGTACTGGCCGAAGCATGCTTTGAGTCTGAGAGCAGGTGTCCACCCTACAGGGCCTCCAGGGGCCCAGAAGAGCCTCATTCTGAAGAGCATGTCATGGGGCTGTAGGACCGGTCGTCCTTCACGTGTTGTGTCACTGTTGGGCTGGAGAAGGTCACTGCTTCTTGTCCAGTCAGGTCTGTCTAAAAGTCCTTTGTCTTGGTGGTGTATTTCTTAGATAATAACCCTAGCATGGAAATGGGGTAAATCTGGGTGTTTTTAAGAGCAGTGTCTTTAATTCAAGATCAAGACCTTTTATGTGGTGACAGCCTCTGAAGAGTATGGTCATACCTGACAGCTTCTGGTCATGGAATGAAGGGGCTGCCCCTGCTCGCTCATTTCTGTTAGAGCCTCCTCTTTCTGTACACATCCATTTTCTTGTCAAGTAAAGCAAACCAATAGCACAGGGGTCTGATGTGTAGTCAGTCTCAGCAGACTGTCCATCAGCGCTCAAAAGGCTGTCTCTGCTTCAGTTCCTCCACAGCCTGGGGTGGAGCTGTCATCGGAGTGAATGCACATTGGGACAGTGCACGTGCGGGCACCCAGTAGATGGGCAGTCAGTGGTTGTTGAGGGAATTAATTGAATGATTGCTGCTTGCTTTTTGCAAGAGTTCGTTATTCTCCCAACATGCCTCGGCAGTGGAAAGGATTTATTATTCCCAATAATAAAATAACATCCTGCCTCTGGCTCCTCACCTAATCCCCAGTGGTACCCGAGCCACTGAGACCAACAACATCTGACAGTCACATAGGATGTGTCCTTTGGAGTCCTCACTGTGGCTTTTGCTACTAGAATAAAATAAGCTCATTGGAAGCTTTCTACCAAAAAATGAGATCTGGCATAAATAGATCCTGTCTGTGGTTGTTATTCAAGCAAGAGAGGGTAGCTATTAAAGCCCCAGATGGATCTCATTATCAGATGGATTCGAACTGTCAGTGGTTCCAAGAACCCATGGCATGAACCCTGGTTTTATTTAGCGGGCTCCTATTTCTTCAGCTTTCCTACCACATGTTGGTGTTGGAACACCGCAACACCGAGCAGTGCATGCTCTGAGCAGGGGTGACTAGCACCAGAATGGGCAGGTCAGGTGGACATCTGTTCAATAGTGACCCCAGGGCACCCAGAGGACCCCGGGTGGAACCACTTTGGCTTCCTGGGCTTTGTGGCTAGCACAGGGGCAAGCAGAAAATCCTGTTTTATTTCAGCCTGTGCTGTCAGATATTCCCTACAGATGACTGCCCTGTTCATATGATTTCATCTTTCCTCTGTCTGTAATGATTCAGAGCGCTTAACTTCTTCAAGGGGCCCCATTATGACCGTCAGTTCTCACTGAGTTTTATTATAGACAAATGAGGTTCGATTTGTAGTCAGATTTGTACTGCTGCTAGGACCTACAGAAGCTTTTTTTTTTTAATGTCTTAATATGAACCTGTTATCAAAGCAGGCTGCCAGGCTCCAATTCATCAAGAATTCTGATGAATCAAGGGTTAATAAAAGCACAGACTTGGCTTTTAATACAACTGGAGTTGTCTCAGCATCACTAGATGTAATAGTGCTACACGTAAAGTTTGATGCACTTTCCATTTTTTTAGGCTTTGGTGGTCCCTGTGGCCAGGACTGATGACCAGCCTCCCGCCTGTGCTGGGGTAGGTCTGGGGTTGTGCCTGCTGCAGCCTGGGCTTTTAGTGAGCCGAGCTGAGGAGAAACACCACTGCAGGCTTTGGAAGTGTGGGTGCCTAGAAATGTCAAGGGCAGAGCTCCATCTACAAAGTCTGGGATGAGAACCGCAAAGGCTGGTGGTGAACTGGAGAGTTTCCAATATTCTGAAAGCTCATTAATCTTGGTTCAAACCAGCCTGCATTGATTTTTGTTGTGTTTTTAATGTTTTTTGATCATAGATTTCTACAAGGAAGGAATGGTTTTCCCACCTACTGTGATCCAGGCTCCTCCTTGCTTTCAGTAATCTTTTGCCTCACCAAGGGGTCTCAGTGGCTCACTGTCTCAGCGGCGCCTCTGGGGGCTGGGTAACACTTCAGCTAATTCCAAGGGTTTACCCTTGGGTTACTAGGGGTTAACACATTCCCTTTGGAATGCTGAGAGGCAGTCCAATCCGGTTAACTGAGGTGACCACTGCTCTGCCACTTGCTTTCTCTGTAATTCTTTCTTTCTCTTAAGGCTCAGTGTTCTCATCTGGTCCTTACCACCGCCCGCCCTACCCCCCACCCCCACCCCCCACCCAGGATTGTTGTGAGGATTGAATGAGGTAATGGACATAAGAGCTCAGCCAGGGCTTAAAAATATATAAAGAAACAAATCTGTTTGTGAGGGAAGCACCACATTTACATACACAACTTGTGATACGTGTATCCACTAATTGTATTAATTTACATGTGTCTGAAGGTAAAAACCTTTAAAAAGCCAGAATTAACTTCACTGGTTACTATCTGATTTGGGTTTGCAAGGGTATATTTTTCTCTTCCTACTAATTCCCCACATTTCCACTTTTTCCCAATTGATAATTTGTGCAACTGGTTTGGCATTTGTATCTGAGTCAGAACGCCACCAGTGATCGAAAGCCACCCTTGGGAATTGAGATTTGTTTCATTCTTAGGGGGAGTGACAGCAACACGTATTCTGTGACATCTGTGTCTTTTGGAGTGAGGTCTGGCAGTGAGGCTGGGGTGACAGGGACACAGGTGTCATGGCTTGATTATCTTGCCTACAGAGCCACCGCGCTGATGAGATGAGCAGTGGCCAGGTGTGACTGAGCTGTGCAACACACTTTGGAGGTGAAAATACAGTCCTGGAGTGTACACACTTCAGGGTCCTGCTTTCATCCCCTCTCAAGGGACAGGTTTCACTCCCTGGTCCCGAGCTGGTTTGAGTGTCAGCAGATTCATCATGGTTTTATGCCCGTGGTCTCCGAGGGAGCACAGAATTTTAAAGGAAATCGACAGATGAGAAATCACAGGGGTCATAGAGCTTAGAAAGCTTATTTTATTAGTAAGTGGTTTGTACCATCGAGGTCCAGCTATGGGTTCTGCCAGTGGAGGAACAGGAATGAGGAGCCGTGACATTTATCTGAAGCTCTAGCCACCTCTCTTGGAACAGGAAGACATAAAAGTCCAATGTCATCTTCAATTTGCACGGACTTCCCTTGGAGATGCAGGGCTGGTGAAGTGAAGGAGAACACTTAACACACCCTGGGAAGTGATAAATCACAGGGCAAGATCGAATATGCGTGAAAGGCGCCTCCCGCAATTAAAGCAAACTGCCAGAGCCTCCCTCGTGACCTCTGGTCTGCATCGCCTGCCTCAAAGAGGTCTGCTGAACAGTTTATGTTGCATGTGTGTTCAGCCTCCCCCGACCCCAGTCCTGGGAGCCCAGTGGCTCTGCCTACTTTGGAAACTGGGCTTTGTCTCATGGAACACCCTCTACCCTGACATAAAAGGCGGTGCACTGGCTGCCTGGCTCCAGAACCTTCTCTTTGTTGTTGTCGGACCCCCACAGATGGGAGGAGGGAAGAGGAGAAGAAAGGGGACTGGGAGTGGAAGTGGGGTGGGGAGCAAAGCTTAGCAAGGAGCTCAGCAGCACCAGCTGTGGACGCAGAACACGTAGAAGAGAGTGTGGTGGCCCTCTGGACTCTTCCTGGCTCTGGGAAAGCACAGGGAAGGCACTGGGAGGTATGGGCTGGTCTCAGAGGATGCGCCCCTCCTGGACATGAGGCCTGGGCCCATCCCTCAAGGGGGCTCTCACACACACACAAACAAAAGGTGCCTCTTCACAGACACCTTAAGGTTTTCCTGCTTGTTTCTGGAAGCTCTCTACATAGAAAATTCTACCAGCCTTTTCCAAAAGACCACAACCCAGTCCCTTTTGGTTGGGAGACTTTGCCCGGTCAAGCAGATTCCCTGTGGGAGGCATGGAGGAGCCTGTAAAGCCTGCCTTGCCCTCCTGGCATCTATGATAGCCATTTGGAGGTGCCCGAGGACATTACTGGGCCTTATTTGATGCAGTAAAACATCCCATTTGGTCCCTCAGCACTGAAGATATGTTTCAGTGCAGTTTTTCTCCGGCACCTGATTTGTTACTGCAACAGTGGGAGGGAAGAGATAGGATGCAAACTCATTCTGCGGGCTCGAGGCTCTATTATGATCCTTGCCGTGATTTCCCTTTTGATACTGGCAATTTGAGAATGACATCCCAGATATACTCTGTGTCTTTTTCCTAAGGTACTCACTCGCTCAGAGTGCTCAGAGCTATCAGCCTCCACCTGCCCAGTGAGGTGAATCAGGCAGATTAGTCCATTTTCCAGGTGGCAGAATGGAGTAGCAAAGGGCCTTGCCAGCATCATAGGGGCAGACACCAGTTTCCAGGCATCTTTGCTGCTGCTTTCGGTCCCTAAAGGATTAATAACACAAAAGAGACCCTCTGGGTTCCCCCTGGCAGATTTCTCTCCAGAGCAGAAATTGGATTTGTTAGCAGGGATAGACTTAGCCTTTCATCCCACCTCTGTTTAGGGATAAGTGTGTGAATAGCTCTGTCTCCCTGCACATCCCCAGATGGCTTTTGGGTGCAAGCTGTCGCTAGCAAGATGGCAGAAAAGCTTTCTGGCCAGTTTACAGCAGCTATTCCCCCTTCACTGGCCCTGCCCTCAGCTCAGGTTTGGAAGTGGGAATGTTTATCATGCTCCAAGCCAAAGATTGTGTTGGAATTTGCTGCTGCTGGGTTTGCCTGTCACCTTTCTGCTCCGGAGTTGGCTTTCACTCTGTGGATCTGCGTTTCCTTTGGTGCCCTCCCCCCTCCTTCATTTTCAATACATATGTAGTAGCGGAG